AACTTTGCTATATTCCCCATCTTGCATATCTAACAGTACTGAGAGATTTTTTTATATGTCATACAAAGACATTTTTGTCAAAATTTTGTTAATTGAAAACTATTTTATTGGGTTATATACCCTCAGCTACCATTGTTTGTTGCATACATTTAATCCGATTCTAACTGTATAACATTATTACGTTGGGGCCATATCAATTTTTGTTTTGGGTAGCTTATCATATATATATATATATATATATATATATATATGTAGATCCTTGAATATATTTTTGGGCGAATTAGCGAAATATACGGATGACTGTACATTGTAAAAAAAATACGGATGATCGTACATGAAATTATTTTTTGAACATTAACCAAACAGTATTTGATTTCAAAAACACTGCGTTTATGTCAAATATTTTAAAAATGGTGAGAGAGATAATTCCTCTTCAAAATCATAAGACTATAGTATATACGTTATTATATGATCCCCAAATCAAAATATGAGGTTTGATATGATGAGGAGATATTTACAAGTTCACACTTTCCGGATTTAGATATCATGGTTTTTGAATAATTTTTGGTTGATAAAGTCCTAAAATTTTATGATGTAATCCATCAATCCATAGGACTATAGGAGAACTTAATTACTTCACACCACGGAGGCATTAAGCATGGACACTAGTTAGGATCGGCGTAAGATCATAGTGGTGCTTGCTTCATGTACAAGAATAGGCAATGCGTGTGTGATGATGATCATATCACACATTTAATGTTTCTCTATGTGTATATATGTGTTGTGAGTTGTTATATAGCACTCTTCTGCATCATCGGTATATATGTGTTGTGAGTTTTTCACGCATCGTTTGCTACTCGATCGATATATAGATCCTAACGAACAAAACTTACCTGTTATTATTTATAAAAAAAAATTCTTGATTTTCTGGCAATAATAGTGGTGAATATAATGTCAAGAAATTTTGGTTATTGAGTCGGTAAAATGGGTTTAATAGAAATATATATATCGGTTCTAATGTTGTAGAAAAAGATGGTGATTGTTGGTGTGGAATGAGAAACGACAATGTGGGACTCAAAATTGCCCACCCTATTTAAAGTCTCTATCAAAGTCCACTTCTAAGTTCTAGGTCCTATCTCATGAAAATCATTGAGATGCTTCTCTTGTCTTCAAACAGGTTTTTTTTTTTTTACCCTTGATTTTCAATGTTTTCTCTTTGATTAGGAATTTGGATTGAAGGTCTAGGTTCACCATTCACGACTTGCCCAAGTCAGGTCTACTTTCTTTTTCCCTTATAATATAAATGTAACTGTTTTCAAATTTTCGTTTTCAAAAGTTGTTTTGACTTTTGACTACTCTATCTGCCAAAAAATGTTACTATTCTTCCTACTATTCATATTAATTTAAAGTTTTTTTTTGTTGTACAATATATGTTAACCGTTCACAAATTGGTTCCGATAACTATCAATATTTGTTACAGAATTTTGTCGAACCTGGTAGGCTAATATTAATCTAACTAATAATTATGGATTTGATAGAATTAAGGAAAATTCATTGTTTCTCATTCTAATGTCCAAATCAACGAATTATCTGTGAGTCTATGACCATGAGAATTAATTCACACTTTACATTTTCTTATACACTTTTTTGTTTCCTCGAGAAAAAAAAGGAAGAAAAATGTAAAAAGAAAAAGACAACACAGATGGGATGTAGTGACAGAAATACAAGTCCCCTTCAAGAGATCATGAGAAATCTTTAACAGCCTATGAGCACACAATTCTACAATGACTCCGTTTTCAAAAGTTTTATTGCGTTGCTTGCATGGACCTGATTATATAGATACGTGACCGTGTATATCTAATTGCCTATGAAAAGTTTCTTCAAATCTTATTTTCTTGATTTTTTTTGTATAACCAGTTTGTAGAATTGTAGTTCAAAATATGTGTGGTACTTGCAAATTTTTTATGGAATATTCTGTTCGAATCATGGGAACGACACGTGGCATTCCACTGATTCCACTGTAAAAGAGAAGAGTGATGGAGACGTGAGTGGGGAGAATACACTTATGTGATAAAATTTAGAATAATTCCATAACCGAAGTCGTGCCAAAAAGTTTTTTTTATGCAAAAGACAACAACACTTTCAAATTTTCATTCATCCATTCGATTATTTATATTGGTAAAGCAAAATTGACATCACATTCCCATTCTAACAAGTTAAACTTGACTATTCTACTGGGGAAATTTAATCAACCAATTAAGAATATATGAAAAAAACTTTTTAAAAATTGATTAGTCAATTATGCATTAAGAACTTTGGAGCATAAGCCAATAACTAAGTATATTTGTTTTCATTTTCATGACTAGCATGGTTGATTGATATATCATTCGAAGGGAAATTAGACTAAGTGGTGGTATTTTCTGAGCAATATTTCCTTGTTATAATCATCCTTACTAAAACAAATTGCAGATTTGATTAGTACCAATCAATGACTTTTTGTGATCTTGATTTAGACAAATTTATTTTGTATTTCCATTCTAGTTTTGGTTTATCATAACATGCATCAGCAAATCTAATCATTCTAATTTGTATAGACAATACTTGTAATTGGCAATACCAAATACTATATAACTAGCGATGCTTGTGGAACAACGGATCATATCCATCATCATCTATTGCTGTTCCCAAGAGAATAAAATTATTTTAGCATTACATGATGAAAACAAAAAATAATATTGATAATAATTCACATTTCTTGTTGAAATATAGAAGACAAAGTATGTAAATATTGGTTGTCATTCAGACAGATTTAATGGACATCTCACCAACGAGCACATAACTCTCTTTAACTGTCGGTTCAATTATTTAAGGTGATCTACATAGTATTTTCAATTGTTTTCGTTAAAAGATAGTATATAGCCAATATATTGCTAACTTATCGTCTTTCAAAATTATGATTTTGAAACCCTAGTTTTTTTCATCCCTACAAGATAATACTAACCCACAAATTAACTAGTCAAACTGTATCGTCTCGTGGACGCGCGTAGGCATTGATGTGGCCGCAGTAGCGAAGAGAAATGGTTCCAACTTCCAAACCATGTGGTCTATCGGCCCCAAATCTATTATTGCGTTTTAAATATATTACATGAATGGAAAAACATATATAGATTTTGATTGGCAAAAAATATATATATATATATCATATATAATTTCCCCATCGCCAAGTATGGACTAAATATATGATTAGATGATGCTAATTTAAAATCGATGAGAAAGTAGGTGGCAAACATATATCACTCGAAATATGCCACTTACACCAGATATGCGAACTTACTGTTGCGACACAGAAGCAGACTTTAAGTAATTATTCTATTGGCACGCTTAACTAGTGTTAAGTGCTAATTATATATCTATTATTTTTTTTTTGTTTTAATCTGAGCTGTTCTCCTCTATTTATCAGAATTAGTATTTTTTTTTGAACACTATCAAAATTAATATCTATACATCTCCATTATCTACATACTCCCTCTGTTCCTGAAAGTTTGATGTTTTAGAGTTTACACATATATTAAGAAACAATCATGATTTAATCATTTGATAATTTTTTCTTTTATTAATTTTTTTAATAATATATGAACCAATAGTAATCTAAAACAGTTAATTATTTGTAATCATTACGTCTTGAAATCTACGATTTGTTAATATCAATTAATAAAAAATAAAATAAAAAGCTAAAAAATCAATTTTGTGGAACAAACGTAAAACATCAAACTTTGAGGAACAGAGGGAGTATATTATTAAGGGGGTACATCTTGATCCTTAAAAGCCTATAAAGTTTTCTCCTATGTAAAAAAAACGACAGATAAGGCTCACCGCCTCCACATTTATTTTGTGGTGAATTCAGAGATATCGTTAAAAACGAATCTCAGAACGGAGTTGTAGCCAAAATTGAAGAATATGACCAAGTGAAAAAATATATATATATATTTAATTAACATTTAGTGACAAAATATTCATATTATTTAAGAGAACACAATGAATTATACTCGTTCCGTTTTGTTTTAGTTGTCGTTTAAGGTTTTCTCATACAAATTAAGAAAATCATTAAATTTTCTGTTTTACCCTATATTAATATATTTTACAAAAAAATTCATTGGCCGAAACATTAAAACAGTATGGATAAAACTGGAATTTTCACCAGACATTTGCATCGAAAACCTAAAACGACAAGTAATACGAAACGGAGGGAGTATTTTTGTAATACATATTTATAAACGTGCAATATTTGAGCTAATTAATCGTTTAAATATGTTGACAAAAAAAAATGCAATAACACGACATTTAAGATTATTGTTAAAAGGAGGGGGAAAAAAAGATTATTGTTAAAAGGAGGGGGAAAAAAAGATTATTGTTAAAAATTATAATTGAATCTTTTTGGGGTTCACGTCTTGAATCGGGCTTGGTGTAGAAACCCAAAATGCTTTGATGAAAGAGCAGTGTGTAAGTTACCCTTTACTTATTAGGCCCAATAAAGGCCCATAAAGAAACCTCTGTCTACTGACTCGTTTACAAGCCCCTGCGTCTTACACGCATCCCCGCCTAGACGAGTCACTCACAATTTTATAACCCATCCCGTTTTCAGTTCTCTAGGTTTTGCTGAATAGATTTCTCGGAAAATTCGTTACGACTGTTTTGATCCAACAGATCTCTCAATCTATTGGCTTAACTCTTAAGAGTTTTGACTAGTAACATTAATTTCACATTCCTAACTCTCTCTAAACTTATCCTCTCTGTAAAACTCCACTCATTAACAATCAAACTATTTTTGCTTTGAACCTCAGGCACTAGCAGAGCAGTCCCTTTTCAATGCTCGTTCTAGAATTGCAGTGACTCAAGTAAGTTGTCATCATTCTCTTTAATTAAGCGCTCTGTCTTTTACCAAAAAAAAAAAAAAAAAAGTGCTCTGTCATTGTCGTAAAATAGAAATCAAAATTCAATGGTGATAGGATCGAAGGTTATTTTATTCTGATATCAATTACACTAGCTGAAGCATTGATGAGTGATGAACCTGAAAATAAGTAGACAAACATAGGCTATATTCACATTACTCTGTTTACAACACATATAAGCTATATTCATAAAAGTCTAGAAACCCACCAGACACAAACTGTGTTACTTAATTTACTCTTTAGTCCATATATATATATATATATATATATATATATATATATATATATAGTTAAATAGCTAACAGCAAGCTAGGCAACGATCCACGAGCCAGGTCCCTTGGTACGCTCTCCCAAACCGTACAACGCCCCATGTCCCATCCTATTGCTCCAAGACTGTAGTCTGTAACAGTGAGCCATGTGTTGAAATACTCTCTTAGCTCCGTGACCACTCCGTCTTTCAACTTCCACACGTGAACCCAGTACACTTGTGAACCCTCCCACCCTTCTGCAATCACGCAGTCATGACCAGGCACCACTACTTGTACACTGCTTGGCTCAAACCTGAACGAAACCTGGCTCCGTCGTTCCCCTGTTAGCAGCCTCATCATGTGTTGACAATGGTGCGGTCCATGGAACCACCATTCCACGTCACTGGCCACCACTTTGGTCACCGTCGAGGTGTCTCCTTGCTGCAACGCTTTGTAGAGTAACTCTATGGTTCTCTGGTTTTTCATTTCTGGGGTAAGTCTTGTCGATATCTCTACGTTGTGTGCTTCCATTTGTAAATTTATTATTTCAGACTTAGAACAGGATAGGTTTTGAAGTGAAAGGTCTTATTTTTGTGTAGTGTGCTTCTGTCTTATTTTTCAGTCCCTTTTATAGAAAACATAAGTACTCGGTACAAAGGGTCATTTTAAGACTTGGTTCTTTTTTTCAATCAGTTTTTTATCCATGACAAAGAACTTTTTTTTTTTTTTCATTTGTCGGTGATATATAAACTGCATATCAAAAAAATCTAGGTCGTTTTTCTGACAATTCCCCTAAAATTACATCAGATATTGTTTGGTTTAATTTATAGATATTTCTAAGTTTCTTACTCCGGTGCAGGATATGGTTCTATTTTTATTGTTTTTCAGTTTGAATAACCTTCCAATTTGAATAAAACATTTTATCATAGCCTCTTAGTTTCTTCGCTAAAATAAATAGGAAAAAAGATTGCTAGCTACACAAAGTGTTAACGAATATATGGTCACATATGCCAAGTATACTATTGTATCTTTAGCTACACGGAATATATGTATTGCATGACCACATGTATGAACTATACGACGTCATGTCGTTAACACCATAAACATACAATTCAGGTATACTGATCAATTGATTCCGGTGGAAACTAGCGTTGATCAATTGATTCCGGTGTACCGGAATTTTATGTCTATAGTGTTAACCACATGACGTCGTATAGTTCATACATGTGGCCATGCAATACATCGAATTCGTGTAGCTGAGGATATATACAATAGTATATTTGGCATGTGTGACCATGTATTCTCCAATACTTTATGTATCTAGCAATCTTTTTTTCCTAACGAAGGGAAGTTTAAAGTTGCTTGGAATTTGGAAAGCTCTTGCGTCGTTGTCGTTCTATTAATGATGATCCGAGTAATTTATAGTAACTAAGCATGCTTAAGATAGTTCATAGTTAGAACTTAGAACCTGAACCAGACGCATACACATATGTTATTATTAGTTTTGTCTCTAGCGAACAATCAGAACATGTCTCAATCTTTCCACTAAATTCGTCCAATTGATCTGTGAGTGAGCCAGCCAGCCAATAGAAATTGAATGACCAACGTTTTAGTCGGTTTAGTATATAATCTTTTGGTGTTAGAAAAAAAAAGATTTTTCATAATTTATATAAAAATATATAGTAGTGTTCTAGTGATATAACCTTTTGTTAAAGAAAAAAAGATTTTCTTCATAATTTAAAATAATATAGTAGTGTCTTGTTTCTGCCTTGTGGGATTTGATTGTGAAACAGAAAACTGAAGAGTCACATTTCCAGGGGTTAAACTAAACTTTGCATGGTGACTTAAGCTTGTAGAATTTTTTTTAATCACGACTGAAGCTTATGGTTAAGAGAATAATGATAATCCAATGTATAATAATACTATATAGTACTCCCTCCGTTTTTTTATAAGTGATGTTTTAGGAGATTGCACATAGATTAAGAAATTATTAAATTTTTGTTTATTTCTAAACTAAAACATTATTTATTATCTAATCAACCAATAAAAAAATAATCTACAGATTATAAATCGTCAAACCCAATAAAAAACAATTAATTTTGCATTGAAAACTGAAAATATTATCTATTTAAGAACAAAATTAAAAACTTAAAACATCACTTATAAAAAAACGGAAAAAGTAGTATAAAGGTACAAATGGTCTAAATGGAGGAAATGTGTAGTCCACGTAACATTCAATGAGCAATAAAGAGGCCAAGTTGGATCCAACTAAACCCCTCGTGCACACTGTCGGGATTTGGACATTCTCTTAAAACCTAAAAATAATTAATCTGCACTGTTCTGATTCTGACCCCAAATATGTATATTTGACTTTTTCACGTTGCTATGCCCCATCAGTTTCGTGCATTGCTTTGTTGAAGCCAAGCCACGAGTTCTGGTTTAATAGAAATTATTATAGGTTAATTTGTTCAAAGAAAAAACACCATCACATTATACGTACGTACGTGTAGTTAAACATAACAACAGTCTCAAACGCAAACAGGTAGTAATTGATAAATTTAGGGTCAGCCATAACTACAATACACGATTGAATTTCTTGTATAAATTTTGGTTTGAATTTCAAGTTTTTTTTGGTTTGAATTTCAAGTTAGATCTAAGGCTCTTAGTGTAATGAATTCTCCACGGTGCAGAAGTTTGTAATCAAGAAATCTTAACATTAAACCAAAAAAAAAGGTTTGTAATCAAGATACTTGAATCAATAGCCACTGGACTCAACTACATGATCTCAGCTTGTTTATTAGATAAACCAGATGAGATTCAGTTTACTTTGGGTTCGAACCAATGAATAGAGTAACGTGTGTTGGCCCATAAGTACATTGCATGTAGCAAAGTTTTATCAAGTGTCTAATAAAATGATACTACAAGACACATACATAAATATTGGGATTTAAGTGCGACGTCCTGGTTAAGTGTACCTTGTCGAATGTGTCAGTTTTTAATTGGGCCTCATACTGCCTTTGGGGTCGACTCCCTCTTCCTCCTTTCTCTATCTTGTACCAATAATCTCTTCAGAAGCTAATGTATAGAGAACTGTGATATCAAAATCATCATAGCTATTGATTATAAACAAATGGTTAAGTACATATATCCCAAAAGAATTAATCAAATATCTAGGTTTTTAGTTGTATATTTTAACTATAAAAAATGATTGCTATCGTATGATTTGCCGCCCACAGCAAATACGTCTGATTAATCACAATTCACAAATATATAAGAAAGAAATACGTATAATACATGAGAGTATAATTTATGGGAAAATTGGATATAAATGATATCTACTACAAAATTTGTCCATATATCTTCTTTTTTTGTAGATTGGTCATATAGGTTTTTTAAAATTAAAAACCCAAATTTACCCTCATTTTCTCTCATATTTCATTAAAAAAAAAACTTCCTAATTTATTTACAAAAACCTGTTAATTTATTTTGTGGTGGTGGTAATGTTTTCATTTCATCCAAAAATTGTGACGAGGTTACTAATCTACTTTAGAGATAAAACTCATTAGATCTCGGTCTTACTTCTTTTCTATAAAAATATGAAATACTAACAAAAGTCAAAAAAAAAAATTCCACTCAACAAAATCAAATTAATTTTTTTTATATAGTTTCAATTTTCGGATTTTTCTATTAAAACCAAAATAAAATCAAATGAAACAAAAAATCTGGGATAAAAAATTCTCAAATTTTTCTATAATACACTAATATACATCGTTATGGTTTTTCTTGGTACACATACATGCTAAAGGAAACTGAAGTTGGTAAAATCTCTACTTCTTGCTATTTATAAATGGAACCACTGTTTATTAAAGTAAATATACTATCAAGGATTCCTCCTGGTTTATAGAAAAAACATTTTCTTTTAAAAAAAAAATTATTTTGATGCAAACAAGCTAAAATATATACACATTTTGCAAAATCTAATATCTTTTTCCCCCTTTTTTTAATATCTTTTTTTTTCAAATCCAAATTTTCTGATAGCTAAATCGTTGCCCGAGATTAGTTTTAAAATGTTTTAGTTTAATCGTTATAAAACACAAATTTTGATATTTTTTGGTTTTAACTTTTTTAAAAAAACGTAGACAACGATTTCTAAATTATTTAGATCGTAAGCTAAACAATTAATTTCCATTTAAAACGTAATCTACAATAAATATTTAGTTTCCTTTTCTGAATATTTACTTTCTATATTTAGAAAATTCTAAACAATTTAGAAAACCAAATCTACAGTATCGTAGAATTTACATTCTACAAGAAGATGACAATTTCTAACGATGGCAGAAGATGTAGTAATTAGTAGAAGAGAAATTGTTAAAAATGCCCCTTTTTCAATACCCCTTTTCAAAAATGCCCCCTTTGAGAGTCCATTTTTAAGTTTGCCCTCTTTTAATTTTTAATGACCATTTTACCCTTATTTGAAACAAAATTAGGTCCACAAAATACAAAATATTTTTTGGCAGGAAAAGTGATCTCCCAATTTTCCCGCCAAAACACTTGTAAAAAACCTTTAAAATACCTTGTAAAATTTTCCCGTAAAAATTTTTCCCGCCAAAAAATTTTCTCGCCAAAAATTTTTTTTTGCGGGAAAAGTGATTCCGCAATTTTTTTGGCGAAATTATTTTGGCGGGAAAATTTTTGGCGGGAAAAATTTACAAGGTATTTTAAAGGTTTTACGAAGTATTTACAAGTGTTTTGTAAGGTTTTACAATGTATTTTAAAAGGTTTTACAAGGTACTTATAAAGTTTTATAAGGAATTTATAACTTGTAAAAAACTTGTAAAACCTTATAAAAAACTTGTAAAATCTTATAACTTGTAAAACCTTATAAAATAGCTTGTAAAATCTTATAATATCTTATAAATACCTTATAAATACGTTGTAAAACCTTTTAAAATACATTGTAAAACCTTATAAATACCTTGTAAAAAACCTTTAAAATACCTTGTAAATTTTTCCCGCCAAAAATTTAACGCCAAAAAAATTACGGAATCACTTTCCCCCAAAAAAAATTTTTTGGCGGGAAAAAATTTTACGGGAAAAATTTACAAGGTATTTTAAAGGTTTTTTACAAGTGTTTTGGCGGGAAAAATTGAGGGATCACTTTTCCCGCCAAAAAATATTTTGTATTTTGTGGACCTAATTTTGTTATATTTCCTTATATATTTGTTATATCTTTTATTAAAAGAAGGGTAATTTAGTCATTTTGTACATAAAAAGGGGTATTTTTAAAAATGGACAGCCAAAGGGGGCATTTTTGAAAAGGGGTATTGAAAAAGGGGCATTTTTGTGAGTCTCCCTTAGTAGAATGTCTATTCAAAAAGATTTAGAACATAGAGCAAAACGTAGAATGCAAGTTCTAAATATTTTAGATATATGATTTTCGGATTTCTAAAATTTTCAGAACAGAAATCTAGTCTGAAATATGTAGAACATGTACAAAAATGCAGAATACACATTCTGAGTTTCGCAGAACTCTAGAAAATGTGTTCTACCAAAATTAGATGAAATTTTATCTATAAAAAAATCAACTTTTTTTAAACCAAATCTAAAAAAATTCAGTTCAAATCACTCCTACTCTTGTATATCTACATGTTTTTACGATTATTTTATTTAAAAAATATTTAAATTAGGGTGTAGGGATAAAATCGTTCAAACTGACAATCTCATAAAAAAGGTGTATATGGACAAAAATTTAAGTAGATATCCTTTATTTTCAATTTAAGTAGCTAAAAAGAAAACAAACAGAAATACGTATAAATACATGAGAGTATAATTATAGCAACAAAAGAACAAACTAACTAAACTTGTAAATAATT